GCCTCCTCCGCCTTTGATACTGCTGGGGCAGCAGCTGGTGGGGCAGGCGGCTTTGCGACCGGCAGGAGATCGATGCCCTCAAAGTTGTACTTGATGATGTAGTTGATCATCAACATGGCGGCTGTAGATATCGTGTTGAGTAGTATTTTGCATTGGGAAGGGATGTTAGAAAGCCCGGTAAGGACAAAATATCGGATAGGCCAAAGAAAGAAAAGAGAGAAGGGCAAAGGCAACGGTGCATTACCAGAGATGGCGACCAGGATCATAGCCCAGAAGAAGGACACGACGCTGACATATCGTTAGACATTATCCAAGTGTATCAGATTCTTACTCTGCAACGCAACCGATGGGTGGAGAACCAGGCTGAGTGTTTCGGATACCGGGAAGGGCGAAGCTGTTGAAGAAGCAAACCCATGATGAGCCAGCGAAGCGGTGGGGCCAGGAACGGAAATAAAAACGGGAAAGAAGCAACAGCTAAACTCACAGCAACGCGATCGAAAACGCGATGGTGGGCGGCTCGACCTTCCTGCCGCGGATGCAGAGCGACGAAGCAAGTGTGAAGGCCAGCAGCGAAAGGATCCACATGATGATCATGACGAGAATGGAGAAGAAGATGGTGGTGCTGGACCTCTTCACGTCAAAGTCCAATTTGATCAAGTTGGCCGATTCGGATTCGTCGGTGACGTTGAGGGGAACAATGTTGAAGCTGTTGAAAGTTTAGGGTGGGAGTTTTTGAGCTGTGGTTTTGAGAAAAGACGTCTGAGATGAAACAAAACTCACGTTTGCAGACCGGAAGTGAAGGTCACCCAAAGAGGCAGAAGACTTACATCGGTCGCGTTCTGGTTGTAAGTTCCCTCGATGTACAGATCACGGATCTTGAATATGTCGAAAGGATAAGCATTTATATCTGCATTTGCGGCATTAGATTATGCAACGGAGCATGTGGACAAGCGAGAATGCAGGGGAGTGGCAAAACGAAAACGCACCTCCTTCATCGAACGAAATCGTGGCTTCCTGAGAGCCGACGACGCTGCCGGCGGTAAAGTTAAGCACCCTCGTGTCAAGAGAGAGCCTCACGCTCCTCCTAAACGTCCTCAGCACGGTTCCGTTGTATCGAAGAAGGTCCCCGCACGGTTGCATGTCAATCTTGAGCTTGTAGTTTCCTGCAACCAGATCCACACCAGCCACCGACAACCCGAGGAGCAAGAACGTACGCTTTGCGCACAAGATTGTGCTGTTTGCGTCATCCGTGGCCGCTTCCAGAGCTGACAGCTCGGTTTCCAGCGGATAGGCGGCCAGTTCAGCCCGGGCTTCGCTGCTGGAAGATGGGAAGATGTTGAAATCGTATTTGTAGCTTTCCTTGTAGGCGCTAAGCTTGCTCTTGCCCTGTTAAAGCGTTTGGGATCGGGATGACACGGAAATGGATGGTAGGCAGTTAGAATTGTATCGGATGTCATCAGCGAAACCTCAGGGATCCGTCACGATTTGCTCACCTCGCGCTGGTTGAACACGCCAACCACCGAGACCACTGTAGCCAGAACGGCCGCCGTCGCAGCCAGAACAACCACCACCCCGCCACGCTCCCACCGCCCCAGGGTCACCACCTGTTTTATTTCCCGGCTCATCACCCGTGGGGTAACGCCCCTGCCGGGGGGGGGGGGGAACGCGTTGTTTATATATGCGGAGTTTCCAAAAATTTCTCACAACAAACAAAGGTCATCAGGTTATTTTTGGCAACAACTCCCGAGTGACCCTGGTCCTTCCCTGCAGCTTCCCTGTTGCTCAGGCGTAGATGCCATGAATAGGAGGGGCGTCTACTCGGTAAGGCAGCCCCCGTCCCAGTTTCCAGGACGGAATGGAGGATGACAGGGAGCGACAGGCTGGGGGGCTGACCACAAAAAGTGGTTCACTACAGCTACGAATTAGGTTTATTTTTAGGCCATACGTGTACGCGAGTGGAGAAAGGCGCTGTGGAGGAGTGGGGATTGGGGTGAATGAAGAGCAGCATGCGAGCGAGGTGACCAGCGAAGAAGGATCTTGTTGTCGACCGCTCTCGCCAAGCAGCGTCGAGAGGTTGGAGGGAATATAACCCTTCACGCCGGGATCGCCCTCACGGAAAACTGGTCCTGCGTCATCGAGGGTTTGGCAGGTTCCTTGGGTGCCAAGATGTCGATGCCGTCGAAATTGTATTTCAAGATATAGTTAATCATGAGGAGGGCAACTTTAAGAGTTACTCGCTTTCTGAGGTATGATCATTTACCGGAAGTAGCGACCAGCACCATGGCCCAGAAGAAGGAAACGACGTCGGCCGTGCATCCGATCGGCGGGGACCCGGGCTGGGTGTTGCGAATACCGGGCAGCGCGAACCTGTTGAGTGAATGACGTCAGCCTATGACATAAGAGAAAACGCGCATCAGCAAAATACTCACAGCAAAGCGATGGTGAACGCTATGGTTGGAGGCTCAACCTTTCTTCCCCTGATCCACAGCGAAATGCAGAGGAAGAAGGCGAGAAGCGACAGGATCCACATGATCACCATAACTAACGTCGAGAAAAAGATGGTGGTTATGGAGCGCGTGACCTGGAATTCGAGACGGACGGTGTGACCGAGGAAGGTGTTGTTGGGTGTCACATCTTCCACCTGGTTGGGGGTGACTGTGAAGCTGTTTTGTTCATTAGCATTTGGTGCAAGGCGAAAGAGAAGGCATGCTTTCCGTACGTTTGAAGGCCGGTGACAAAACTCATGACGATAGGTAGCGGCTCCTCAACGGTTGTATTGCCGGAGGGAATCACATAGGTTCCCTCCGCAAAGAGCTCGCGGGCGTAAAACGAATCGAACGGGTACGAGTTTACATCTATTTCGAACCGGAGTTAGATCGCTCTGTTGCCCAGTCGCCAAAATCCAACGAGAAAACTCACCGCCTTCGTCGAAGGTGGTGCCATACTCCACGGACCCAACCACCGAGTTGCTGGAAAAGTTGAAAACCTTCGAGTCTTTCAGGGAAAGGAAACGTGTTAGCCACGTCATCAACAAAAGTCCGGAATGGGAGCGCTCCCACTCACCAAAGATGAGCTTGATGGGGCGGCGGTAGGTCCTCAAAGAACTGCCGTTTACCCTGAGCAAATCTCCGCAGGGAAACAGGTCCAGCTTGAGCTTGTAGGTTGTCGCCACAAGATCCAAGTTTGATATGCCCACCTTGACTAGCAGGTAGGTGTAATATCTGCATGAAGCGTTGAGGTCCTCGCTGGAAAACGAAGTGCCGTCAAAGCTGACTTCGGCGTCCTCGTCGGTTGTGGCTTCGGGGAAGGTGGTCTTGCCCTCCACATAAGTGTCATAGTCCTTTGAGCGCTTGAGCTTGCCCTAGAGTGGAGGAGCTTTTAGAATTTGGATTCCCAGGACGATGAAAAGGCGGCATCCATACCTCTCGCTGGTTGAACACGCCCACGACGGAGACGACGATGACGAGCATGCAGACTGCCGCTAAGGCAATGAGCAAGACCTGGACCCTCTTGGAGACGTGCATTCTGTCGCGGTCGAGGGAGCAATTGAGGGTTTGAGGTGCGATGCACGCAGTGGGAATCCCCGTTGTTTTGAAGCGAAGGGGTTAGAACCCTCGTCCACCGTTTTTTAGTCGCCCATCCTTTAGGCTCTCCAGCAGCTGCAGGAGGCTTACAGTGATGGATCGAGAGGATGAAGGGCGGAACCAATGTCCTTCATTTGGTGGGCGATTGCGGGAGGCAACCAAGACTCTTTGATGAAAGTGGCACAGAGACAGGTGGCCGCTGTGCGACCATGCCTCCTGCGGTCCTGCGGTTTCAGACGCTGCCTGAGATGAAAGGGACTCAAGGGAAGGGATCTAGTCCACACCACAAGTTCACACCATGACCACCGAGCAAAGGGGGACGGACGCAGCGAAAGAAGAGGAGGGGCGGTGCACGATACTGAAAGCGCCGGTCGGTCTTTGACTCGGATAATACTCAAGATGAGCTCTCTGTCTCGAAAACCTTGTTCCGTCCAGTCTCCAGCTCGCGGAGCTCATCGTGGACAACGTATCTCCGATCGCATCTCCGACGCGAGAGTCTCTGCAGTGAAAAATGCAGCCAGTCCGAGGCTCCGGGATCTCCGTTGGTCTGAAACAACCTGTCAACCTGTCAATATACGGAAAATTTTTTCAACAGCACCGACCGAAAATGCCGTCCTTTGACCCAAGAGTCCGTTGAAGATACCACCCTCCGTGCCTCTCACTCCTTGCCGGCTTATCCGACCTGCCGACTCTCTTCTTCGACCAGTCACTGAAATGCCCTTCGAACCCTCTCACTTCCGCGGTTACTGCCACCTGCCGTTGAAATTGCCTCCGTTCCCCACACGGGTTTCCCCGCAAACGAACAAGTCGTTCTCAAGCTTTCCAGCCTTACCCCGCGTCGCCGCCGCCACAACGGTACCCAACCAAGGCAAGCGAAATGTTAAACTGGAGAGTCGATGAGCTGAATAACTGACCATCTCGAGGTAATTGGTTTGCGGCAAGTTGTTGACCTTGGTCATCCATGGCACTGTGCTTCTTAAGCTTGAAGCTAATTTCCAACTAGATAGCCGAAGCCGCCGTTACCGTAACGTCTAACCGATCAACCTCCCACTACTACGGCCTTCATCGACCTTTCGGGAGCAATGTAGGGTGCTTCGGGCGTTGCGGATAATTGTCGGGTAATTAGCCGAAATAGGTCCCCACCAATCATTTTGCGAGGAATTAGCGACTCGTCGTATGCAATTTAAACAACCTTTCACTTCCTGAAACAACAAGAAAAACGATTGGGCAGATGGCCGAGCTGGTCTAAGGCGTCACGTTAAGGCCGTGATCTCTCCGGAGGCGTGGGTTCGAATCCCACTCTGCTCATTACCGCCGGTTCCCGGCGCTATGGGGAATTAGCTCAGATGGTAGAGCGCGCGCTTAGCATGCGCGAGGCAGGGGGATCGATACCCCCATTCTCCAATCCCAATAACTGACAACGTGGCCGAGCGGTTAAGGCGTTTGACTCGAATTGTACTCTTGCGGTGCAATGTCATCAAATTCTTTCGGGAGCGCAGGTTCGAGTCCTGCCGTTGTCGTTCCGCGCCCCTTGTGGCGCAAATACCTTCACATTGACAACGTGGCCGAGTGGTTAAGGCGATTGACTAGAAATCAATTTCTTTCGGGAGCGCAGGTTCGAGTCCTGCCGTTGTCGTTTCCCCAGTATGGGCCTGTGGCAAAATGGTTACCGCGCTTGACTACGAATCAAGAGATTCCAGGTTCGACCCCTGGCAGGCTCGTCTAAATTTTCTGGCCCGCTGCTCCTTTTTTTCCTCCCCACCAAGAAGAGTAGAGACAGTAGTAGCACACACATAAACTGTACGAATGACTATCGCTCGCGGATATTATTTAGGTAAAAAAAAGATAGATGTATCTTGTACTGATGACACTATCGCTCGCCGATATTATTTAGGTATAAGATGATAGATGTATGTGTGTCTTGCACTGGATGGAGAAGGGAGACAGACTGGTTAGTAGTAGTGACCTTTTTTTTCGTCACGGAACAGACCGCTAGTTAAGTGGCTTTACTCTTTCAATAATGCACATGGATGGCAAATGGATGATGGACGGATTTGAATGGAAGTGGTTAACATGTAATAAATACATCAGAGAATCATGTTCAGCTCCTCAAGTTGAGGGGTACAATGCCATGTACGCCTGCCTCGTCACTTAATCGCGAGAGCATCTCAAACATAACCTGCACACGAGGTCGACGTACGGCAATATCCCGAAGCACACCAAGAGCCACGCTGAGGCCCTCTCTAGCGTCCAAAGCTGCCCGTTTGCCGAGCACGCCCTCTATTAACACGCTGATGGGTTCTGGAACGGTTTTTAACCCCTTGCTTGCACTTGCGGGAGTCGGCATCACGTCCGGCTGACTCGGCACAACGCTCGGAGGTCCGTTCAGAGAGCTGATGGGGCCAAGGCCGTATATTCCGCTTAGCAGAACGATCGTGACAAGATGGTGGAGGCCAGCCTCCAGCACAGCTCGCGACTCGTTCACGGCGCAAAAGGTACCGACAGGAATCGGATCGATGGTGGGAAGGAACGAAGGTGGAACAATCTGAATCTTCTTTAGGAGGATTCGGGTGATGCTAAGTGCAGCCGCCAAGCATCGGCGCAAAGACTCGGGTCCTCCTGAAGGTTCCCAGAGCGACCGGAGAAAAGCCCAGTCGACCCCGTTCGGATGTTGCCCAGGTAGTGCCCGTGCAGTCGCAATGGGGATGGCGGAAGCGACAAAGGCGATCGACTGGATCATACGAGGCCGATGCAGGATGATTAAGGTGGCATTGAGCCAAAGCTGAAGCCGGATGCCCTGGTAGAGCAACGGGCCCGTCGGTAAATCGTAACGAGTGCGAAAGACGCTTGAACTTTCGATTGCATTTGCGCTCAGCTCCACCGGCAACGACGTCATGAGCTTCCACAGCTCCTTGTCTAACGCCGCGAATTCGGCTGCCGCCTCGATCTCAACGTTTTTGTAAGCTTCGGCTCCATCCGCGGCCTCTGGTTTCTCCGGGACGTTAGGAACCAGGGGGTTCGCGTTTCCATTTGGTACTGACGGAGCATTGAATGTTGCTTGGTATGAGATGCCGCGCGACAAATTGAACTCGGTAATTCGACAGCATACATCGGCTACTTTGAGGCATACGATGCCTGCGTCCAGCGGCGGTATTTGTGAGGCGTCCAACAGAGGTTCCTCCGTAAAGGGGTCAACGGAAAGCCATTGAGCAAGGGTCGACGGAGGCTTCACATCCGATGTGCGCTTCCATAAGCCAAAGCTCACTTCTCTGAAAATGTAATCGGCCTGATCGATAGCTTTCCTTAGCTAAAGTTAGGCGATTTGGAAGATTCAAAAACTACATCAAGGCAAAAAGCCGTCGCCGTGTGTCCTTCTCAAGCCAGGTAAATCTCCTCTGGGGATGTTCTTCGGCCTCAAGGGTATCGGGATCTACGTCCAGTCGTAACAGAGAGGCCTGGTGGGGTAAATTCCCAAAGAATTAGTTATACACCGTCAGAAAGCAATAGAATCAAGAATATTACCATTCTCAGAGCCATTCCAGCAAGAAGCCATTCCTGACTTAGCCTTAAGGGAGCAATCACCGCACAATGCCAAACCATAATGAGCAGGGCCTGACAGGCATCGATCGAGGGTTGCTCAAAGTCCAGGGACGATAAAGCCACCGCAAGGATCTCATCAGACCTCGCGGCACTGGCTGCGTCGCAGAACCTGTAGAAGGGCCACCGACTGCCATCGGCACTGGGTCCAGATGCGGCCGCTACAGCGCACATCGCCAAAGTAAGCGCTTGACTTGGCGGAGATTCCGAAGAGAGCCTTCTCCAAAACTGCCCTTCGTGTACTATCGGTAATGGCATGATGTAAATGCTTACACGCTTCCCCATATCGAAGAAAATCTTGCTTTTCATTAAAGATGCTCAAAAGACTCTAACCTCCAACAATGCGTTCCGTTCTTCAAGTGACAGAATGAAATTGGTTATGACAGACTCTGAAAGCGTGGGCGAAGGCGATGGTGAGTTTTCTGCACTGCTTTGCAAACTCGACAGGCTATCACCGGGTGGAACATCAAAGGACAAAGAGGATGCACGCTCGAACTCGTCAAGCCATGTCTTTTCTGCCCCCGTTCCTCCATAACGGGATGTGGACGGAAAAGCCATATCGAGCAGTAGCTCCTCTGTAGAAAACAGCGCCGACATTGCACCTCCACGCGATAACTGTTGCTGCCCGGCTATGATCGTTTGCGGCAAGAAGCTGGTCGTTGGGCTCACGCTCACGGAGGAGGTTTCATGGCGAGCTGGGCCTTGCGTCTCCGAATCAATTGCATGTGAGAGTTGTTCGTCAGCAAGACCCTTGAAGAGAGTTTTTACTCTGGAGAATCAGTCAAAGACATGCGAAATCAACCCACGTCTTCTCAACTTGAAACAGCCTTTTCTCCAGCTGCTTCGCAACCTTCTTGTTTATCTCCTCTTCGTGCTCTTTCCTCGGACGCCGTATAAGGGACGGGGATACGAAGCGTCGGACGTATGTGCATTCAGCCCTTATCCGTTTGCACACGCTGCAACGCGGAAGGGCACCATCGCATTTCCTGCGCTCCAGATGTCAGCTTCCGAACTTTAAGGTCGCATAATGTAGATTTTCTTTAACTGGAGGCGACTGATCATCATACCTTTTCGACGTGTAGCAGTTGTCGCAGGCTTTTGTTCGGGGCGATGGTAGCCCCTTGATCCCGGGTGGCAACTTCGAAGTCATCAGCAAAATTTTTCAAATTGACAATCAATATCTGCTGGTGCGCACGATAACTTCTGCGATCGAAGTCGCCAAACGGGCAAAAGAAGGATTGCATCAGTGTGATGCGTAGCGAACTGATATCCATTTTTAGTTTCTTATATGTGTTCAACAGATTTTCGCTCCCACGTTTTTACATGTACATATCATATCCGACGAAGAACATCCAGGGTTCCATGTCATATAACTTAGCACTGATTCTTAGCTGAAAGATCAGCATACCATGTGAGAAACATCATCACTCTTTTGCAGCTTTCTGATATCGCTGATGCCGCCGACGAATAGTGAAACTTGTTCGTAAATATTTAGTTCGGATTCCTTGACAAGTTTCTCGAGCAGATCGCTCATATGGCGGCCACTTGACTTTCGGCTTGTAATGTCCCGCAGTATAGCAAGGATAGATGCAACCCCTTCCAAAGCTTCATTCCGTATCTCGCGGGCGCGCTCCTGGAACTCGAAAGCATCGCTCTGGGGCCTGCCATCAATTTCATCGACAATCAATTCCATCACCATTCGAGGTATGGGCTGTGATAGTGGGGTGCTAAACAAAGCTGCCATAAAATAGTAGTAAAGTCCAGCCTCAAGGATTCCGCGTGATTCAGCAACTCCAACAAAAACAAAGACAGGTCTCGGCGGCCCTTGCGGCAAAGGAGCCGGTGGCAAGATTTGTATTCTTCGTACTAAAAGACTGGTGATGGCAATTGCTGCGCCCCGGCATCTGCGGAGAGACTCGCGCCCTTGACGCGACCAGGTCTTGCGAATGGAATCGTTCAGGCAACTCGGCTGGCTCATGTCCACTCCATGAGCAAAGTGTATCACTTTGACAGCCTTCAAAAGCTCCGATATCATCCGCGGTCTGTGCAGTAAAGAAACAGCAGCGTGGTAATAAAGCTGGGACTTCAGGGCCAAGTAAGGAGGCAAACCAGCATTGAGAGGAGGGACGGGGGTTGAAAACTGAACAGCAGTAGCGATTGAGCCAGGATGTATACCGGGCGGGAGTGTATCAAGGAAGTTGTCCAGTTCTGAATCCAGATATGCAAAAACGAAATCATTGTCCGTAGCGTTAAACGATCCCGATTCGACGACATTAGGAAGGGCTTCCGTTGGAGATTTGAGCACGAAGTCGACCTCGTTCTTTGTGATACCGAAAGGGCCCCGAAGTCCAACATAGGTGGTCCCTTTCCTTACATTCAATTCGGTAATGCGCGCAAACAAATACGCTAGGCGGAAACTTGCGTTAGCCAAATCGGGCTTATCTAGTGCGGCCGGAAGTGTGGGTTCGCCAGTTTCAGGATTTACCGAGAGCCATCGAGCGGTCGTCGCAATCGTTTTAACGCTATGGTTGCGCTGCCAAAGTCCTGAACTTTTCTCCCGGAAGATCATATCAACGTGATCTACCATCAAACTAAAAGACGTGAGAAACACACACAGCGTCACATACATAGTATAAAAAACTCGGCGTCTAGTTTCCTTCTCAAGCCATGTCATCTTCCCAAAGGCTGGATCAGCCTCTAATTCATCCGGTTCAACGTCTAACTTCAAAATCGGAACCTGCGAGCGTTCAGTCTTGCTTGTTGAAATTGAAAGGTACCATCCTTATTGCAAGTCCACTTAAAACCCAAGTTTGGCTAAACCGCGCAACAAGCAGATTGCCGCAAAACCACAGCATTCCAAGGATCGCTTGACAAGATTCAAGGGTGGGGCGCTCGAAATCCAAAGCGGCGACAGCGGCCATAA